GGAAAAGACATTCACAGACTGAAGATGAAAGGTTGGGAAAAATCATACCACTCACATGGACTGTGGAAGCAAGCAGGGGTTTCCATCCTCATAACAAATAAAGTAGACTTCCAACTAAAGTCAATCAAAAAGGATAAAGAAAAACACTACATACTGCTCAAGGGAACTATACACCAACAAGACTTAACAATTATGAATATATATGCCCCAAACAATGGACCATCTGCATTGATCAAACTCTTCTCAAGTTCAAGAGTTAAATAGACCACAACACAATAATTCTGGGTGACTTTAACACACCTCTTTCATAGTTAGATAGATTTTCCCAACAAAAGCTGAACAAAGAAACTATTGAACTCAATTATACAATAAATAATTTAGACTTAACTGACATATAAAGAATATTTCATCCTTCAACGAGAGAATATAATTTCTTATCAGCAGCATATGGATTCTTCTCTAAAATAGACCAAATAAAAATCAATAACATTGATAAACCTTAGCCAAGCTAACAAAGAGAAAGAAAGAGAAAACTCAAATTACTAAAATTCACCATGAAAATGGAAATATCACAATACACACTACTGAAATACAGATGAAAATCACAAGCAATCTTAAAAATTTATACTCTAATAAAATAGAAAATCTTGAAGACATGGAAAAATCTATAGCAACATATTATCTACCCAGATTGAATCAGGAGGACATAGGAACTTTAAATAGATCCATTTCAAGCAAGAATATTGAATGTTCCACCAAAAGCCTACCAAGAAAGACAAGCCCAGGACCAGACAGATTCTCAGCTGAGGTCTACAAGACCCTCAAAGAAGAATTAAAACCAATCCTCCTCAAATTATTCCATGAGAGAGAAAAGGAGGGAACACTTCCAAACTGATTCTGTGAAACTAGTAATACCCTGATGCCAAAATCAGACAAAGACATATCAAGGAAAGAAAATTCAAATAGATATCCCCCTGATGAACATAGATGCAAAAATTCTTAATTAAGTACTGGCAAATCACATATAAGAACATATTAAAAAGCTAGTTCACAACTATCAAGTGGGGTTCCTCCCAGGGATGCAAGGTTGGTTCAACATATGGAAATCAATACAAAGATCATTAATCACATCAATAGACTTAAAGACAAGAATAACATGATTATCTCAATTGATGCTGAAAAAGCATTTGACAAAATACAGCATCCATTCATGCTCCAAACACTAGAAAAACTAGAAATAGTAGGACACACCTCAACATTATGAAAGCTATCTGCACTAAACCCAAGGCCAACATCATTCTAAATTAAAAAAAAATTGACACTTTCCCTCCAAAAACTGGAACAAAGCACAGATGCCCTCTTTCACTATTTCTATTCAACACAGTCCTGGAAACTCTAGCCAGAGGAATAAAAGAGAAAAAAGAAAATAAAGGGATAAAAATAGGAAAAGAAGCACTCAAACTATCCCCATTTTCTGACAACATGATTCTATATTTAGAAAACCAAAAAACTTCTAAAACTCACAAAAAAAATCAGCAAAGTAGCAACACATCAAATTAACACCCCATAAATCAAACGTGTTACAAAACATCAGTGATAAGTCAATTGAGAAAACTGTCACATTCACAACTGCCACAAAAAAAACTAAAATAAAGTATCTGGGAATCAATCTAACAAAACAGATGAAAGATTTCCACAATGAAAACTAAAGAACACTAAAGAAAGAAATTAATGTTTCAAAATGGCCCTATTACCAAAAGCACTATACAGATTTAATGCAATTCCAATTAAGGTTTCAATGATGTTCTTCATAGAATACAAAAAGCAGACATAAAATTCATTGAAAAAATAAGAGGACAAAAATAGCCAAAGCAATCTTCCACAGAAAAGTGAAGCTGGAGGTTTCACAATAACAGCTTAAACTATATACTACAGAGTTGTAGTAACAAAAATATCATGGTAAAGAGAATAAAATCATGGCATTCGCAGGTAAATGGATGGAGTTGGACAATATAATGCGAAGTGAAGTTAGCCAATCCCCAAAAAAAAAAATGCCAAATATTTTCTCTGATATAAGGAGGCTGATTAATAGTGGGGTTGGGAGAGAGCACCGGAGGATTAGACAAACTCAAGAAAGGGCAAAGGAGTGAGAGGCAAATGGACGGGGCATGGAGGTAGAAAAGATGGTGGAATGAGATGGATATCATTACTCTAAGTACATGTATGAAGACACAAATGATGTGAATATATTTTGTATACAACCAGAGATATGAAAAATTTGCTCTGTATGTGTCACATAAATTATAATGCATTCTGCTGTTGTATATACCAAATTAGAATTAAAAAATGAATTTAAAAACATACCATGGTATTGGCACCAAAACAGACATGAAGACCAATAGCAAGGACAGAAGAAAAAGAGATAAATCCACCTAAACCCAGTTATCTCAACTTACTAGACAAAGGCACCATAAACATACATTGAAAAAAGATAGCCTCTTCAACAAATGGTACTGAGAAAACTGGATATCCATATGTAACAAAATGAAATTAGACCCCAATCTCTTATTCTGCACAAAACTCCAAGTAGATCAGATACATAGGTACTAGAACAGAGACCCTGTGCCTAATACAAGAAAAAGGAGGCCCAATTATCCTGTTGGCTTAGGATCTGATTTCCTTAACAACACTCCTAGAGCACAAGGAGTAAAATCAAGAATCAATATATGGGATGGATTCAAACTCAAAAGCTTCTTCTCAGCAAAAGAAACAATCAATAGTGTGAAGAGAGAGCCTACAGAATAGGAGAAAATCTTTAAAACCTGCACTCAGATGGATCATTAATCTCCAGGATATATAAAGAATACAAAAAGCTTAACAACATAAAAACAAATAACCCAATCAACAAATGGGCAAAGGAACTGAACAGACACTTCAAACAAGAAGAAGAACAAAAGGTCAACAAATATATTAAAAACTGTTCATCATTACTAGCAATTAGAGAAATGCAAATCAAAACTACAGTGAGATTTTATCTCACTCCAGGAAGAACTGCAATTATCAAAAATACAACTAACAAAAAATGTTGGCAAGGATGTGGGGGGAAAGATACACTCATATATTCCTAGTAGAACTGCAAATTTGTGCAACTCTGAAAAGCAGTATAGAGATTACTTGAAATGGAACCACCATTTAACCCAGCTATGTCACTACTCACTTAATAACCAATGGACTTAATATCAGCATATTATACTGATGTGGTCACATCAATGTTCATAGAAGCTCAATTCACAATATCTAAGCTATGAAAACAATCTGGGTGCCCTTCAATAGATGAATGGATAAAGAAAATGTGGTACATATACACAATAGAATATCAGTCATAAAGAAGAAAGAAAATATGCCATTTGCCAATAACTGGATGAAACGGGAGGCCATCATGCTTACTGAATGAGCCAATCCCAACAAACCAAAGGCCAAATGTTCACTATGATATGTGGATGACGACTCACAATAGGCAGAGGGGAGGCAGGAGTGGAGGTTCACTCTATTGGTCAGGGGGAAATGGGATTATGGTGGAGAGATGGGAATGGGAAATGGGAAAGACAGTAGAATGAATCAGACATAACTCTCTTCCTGTCATATATGAATACATGACTTGTGTAACTCCATATCATGTACAACCACAAAAATGGGAAGGTATAATCCATATATGTATGATATGTCAAAAAAATATTCTATTTCATGTTTCACTAAAAAAAATTATTTTTTAAAGAACAGAGATGTTCCAAACAAATAATATTTCTGAGTTCATGATTCTTCCTTTTTTTCCATGCAGGGGGAATCATCAGGGTCATTTATGTAGCAAATGATAGGGGGATGTCAGAAAGGTAGATTTCTGAACAGTGCACAAAGGTTACTACCTTGACTCTCTGGCATTGGATTCCAATTCACATGGTATCATTCATTTATTAAACAGAATATCATTGGGAGAAAAGACTTTCTTTCATTTCCGCATGGTTTAAACAAAGCAGACTCACAAACTTATCCAAAGGCAATAACCTACTGGTGGTTTAGTTCCTCTGATCAGCTTTACAAACACCCAAAGTGGTTGGCAGATAACACACAACAACTATGTGTCTCCCATCCCACCAGCTTTACTTACAGCATCATTGAATGCCCCCTCTATAGGCAAGGTCTGTCCCTAGCTGTTTACTCTGGGTGGGTTTGAGATTGATGCAAGCAATGAAATATGGTAGAGTTGATACCACCTGACTTAAAATTTGGGTGAAAAAGAACACAATTTCTGCCTCCTTGCAATTAGGAGAGAATGGTCTCTCTGGAGAAACCAATCATCATGTTGCAAGCAACAAACCCCTTCAGGGAGACCACATTGGCAGAACCTCCTGGAGAGGAAAAGAAGTTCCCAAGTGACAGCCAGCATAAGCACTGACCTGTGAGGCAGGGAGCCTTCAGATGATTCCCCTCTCTGCATCCCAAGACCAGCCTGCTGACACACACAGGAGCAGAAACAAGATATCCTCAGCAACCATGACCAAATTGAGCTTCCTGAGCAAAGGATATTTCATTGTTGTTTTGAACACTGAGTACATGGGTAACTGGGGCACACTGTATTCAGGATTGCTCCCACCCCATTCTGCCCATCCCTGTAACCCCAGCCCCACCATCTTGTCTATTCACTAATATTTTCTTGTCTTCTGCCACAGCGAAAGAATCTCATCTCCAATGTCCTGAGTCTTACAAAGAAAACGGTTTCACCAAATGATCATCTTTCCATGATCATCATTCAAAGAGAACCAAGGAAATGAGCATATTTCTGAGACCACAGGACACACTTTGGCCAATGTTTAGCACCTATAGCACCCCATCTTGTGACCATAGGTTCCTGTTTTCTGCTTCTGTGGTCAGCACTGAATCAAGAGTGGTGGGAGCTAAGCCATGGCTAAGGTCTAACTCAACCATCAGATCTTGATCAGAAAGTGAGGCAAGGGTGAGATCATCTCAGATGAAAAAGCCCCCACACACCAGAAGAGAACACTGGGAGTTTAAAAGACCAGGACGACACAACAACATCTTTGACCAGAGAGGCCTTCCTGGGAAGATGAAGTCACTCCTGCTCCTGTTGGTGTTTCTTCTGTGCCCAAGGGCAGAGGCAGGTGAGTGACTATCGCCAACAACTGAAGCCCAACCCCAAGCTCAGCCCTGTTCAGATGCTGCACCCCACCATTCCGGCTCAGGTGCACCTCCAGCAACTTTCTGCTTAGCAAGGTAAACCTCACCCAAAGACTGGCGGGCCTCATGGGGATGGGAGCACAAAGGAGGAGCAGGGCAGAAGGCTGGTTTTCATGAGAGTCAGTGGCCACCTTCCCCTTTCCCAGCTATAACCTTTACATCTGGAAAGCAGGCCCTTTCACAAAGACATATGAAAAAATAAATAAACAATTCCCCAGGAAAAGGCAGCTGACAGAAAGGGGCTGGCTTCTGTAATCAAGGTAAAGATCACTATATTTTTAAATTAATATCTTAATATCTACCTTCAATGTCCACCTGCTTCTTCAAACTTGTCATTCTCACACTGCCCAGGAATGAAGCCAAAGATCCATTTGATCACAGAATTGTGGGCATTCTCATCCCTTAACAGATATGTGTGCCTTGGTTCAGCCCCATGTTCTCTCAGGTCATTTTCAGTTACAGATGGGTACAATGGCTTTGTCAGACCCCATCATCCCTGGTGCTCACAATCTCACCAGCACTACCCCTCCAACCTCAGCCACAGGCTAATCAGGAGCCATTCCCTCACACAGCCAAGACCTTTACTGGGCACCTACTTGGTGTCTGGCTCCAGCAGACAAACATAAAACAGGACTCAGCATCCTGAATTTATGTGCAGAACCCAGTAGGAGCTCAGTGGGATCTAAGGGGGAAACAAGAGAGGAAAGAAGATTCTGGGACACTTCAGAGAAAGGACTGACCAGAATCTGTAGGGACTTTACTACTTGTTCCAAACTCATATCCTGTCAGTCAACATTGACGTCTGAAGCAGGAATTACAGAGCAGGGACTGCCCTGCTCTTGGTCAGAGGGAGTATCTGAGTCTTGTGGGTCACTCTTCAAGCCAGGAATGCTGCCTGACAAACACTCAGGGCCCATGTTTGCTGCTGCTGGCTACTTAGACCTTTCCCCTAGGGACATGTATAAGGGCTTGAGCCAGCCAAGGCTACATAGCAAGTGAGGAGACCAGGGGCAGGGCCAGAACAAAGGAGCATGGAGGGTCTCTGGATGAGGTCAACTTCCTGTTTGATGAAAGTGCTGGAGGACACAAACCAGGGACCCAATCAGAGAGAAATTTTTTTGTTTGTGCTCCTAAGTGGGGAATCCAATAGAATAACTAAAAGAGAAGTATTCACAGACAACAATCAATAATAGTGACCAGAGGGTAGACAGGGGAGATGATAAGGAAAGGAGAAATTCCTTCGACCGTAAAAGAAGATCAAACTCTCCCACCAGATTCCAAATGTTGTGGAACCCTCTCTTCAGAACAGTCTCTCTGTCCCTCTTGCGATAAACCTGCTGCCTGCTTGCTCTCTCTGCATCCTGCTTGTCAATTCTTTGCTGAACAAGGACAATGAACCCAGCACCCCTAAATGGTAACAACACCACACTCAATCCTTCCTTCCCTGTAGTTTACCCCAGTGTCCTCTTCTTCAGCCTTTGGCTCCATGAGCACCAAGGGCAGGACAGAACTTTCCTTTCAGGGAAAATCATCGGGGGCCAGGAAGCTGTGCCTCATTCCCATCCCTACATGGCATTTCTTCATATCCAGACTCCAAATAAAACGAAAGGATGTGGGGGTTTCCTTGTTCGTGAGGACTTTGTCCTGACAGCAGCCCACTGCTGGGGAAGGTGAGTTCACCCTTCTAGAGAAAACATCACAGGGAATATTCTCCTTTGGGCCTGAAGACAAGAGCTCCATGGAGGGCAGGGAAGCTATGGAGAGAGAAGAGCAGTCAGTGCAGGTGGCTTGTTATACAAAAGGCGAACGTGGATCAGGCTGAATGGGAAGGAGGTGGGTTTTGCCCGAGATCCCAGAGTGCAAATATGTGAAATTAAGAGTCTCACTTGGAGACTCTCTCTGTGCATGACTGTACATGTTCTGTACATGACTCAGCACACTGCAATACTCTAGGACCTGCACCAACACTGGCTGCCAGGAAGCAAAGGGAAGAGATGCTCAGCCCTGAGTCCTCTTCCCATGTAGCTTCTCCCAACTCCAACCTGCCCTGCCCTGGGCCAACCATTTTCCTTCAGGGATACCGACTTGTATCCCCTGTGACTCTACCTCACTGTCTGCTCTAGGAACAGAACCATCACTGTCATCCTGGGAGCCCATGACATCGATGAGCAAGAGACAACCCAGCAGGTCATCCCTATAAGAAGAGCCATCCCCCATCCAAATTTTAAAACAAAGCCATGCAATGACATCATGTTACTTCAGGTGAGGCATGCCATTCCACTGGGTCTTACACAGGTTATTCCTAGAGGGTTAAATCCTCATAGCCTTGTTTCCATCCCTCCTTGTCAAATTGACCCCTTCACTTGTCCCAGTGCCATGATAAAAGCAACCCCATGTCTGCGTCGATTTTCGTGAGTTGTTGATCAGAATTCCCTTTATCTGCCTTTAGTTGAAAAATAAGGCCAAGCTGAATGCTGAGGTGAGCCTCCTCAAGTTACCCTCAAGAAATTCCCAGGTTACACCAGGGATGGTGTGCACTCTGGCCGGTTGGGGACACATTGGCCAAAACATATCCACAACAAAACTGCATGAGGTACAGCTTGAAATCCAAAAGGACGAGGAATGTCTCTCTCATTTCAAAAGTATATATGACTCCACCACCCAGATTTGTGTGGGGAACCCAAAAGAGAAGAAGAATTGTCTTCAGGTAAGTTCACCTGCATTGGCTATTCCCTGCCTTGGCACAGCAGAGTTTGAGGAGAATCAGGGCAAAGGGAACTACTTATGCCCCTATGTACTCAGCCTTTCACCAATTCAGTCTCTGGTCCTGGAGACTCATTTCCCTTTGGTCACTTCATGAACAGAGACTTACTGGAAAAGGAGAGGCATCAGTCAACTGGGGGGAATAGTCAGGGTCAGGCTGGAGCCCCCCAGACTGAATGAGGACTGCCCCGGTCCTGATTTCACAAACACAGCCCTCTAATAGTGCCCACACACACCTGGGGAGGGGGCAGTGTGGGATCTGAAACTGGTCAGCTAAGAGCTTCTTTTCTCTGCCCACAGGGAGACTCAGGAAGTCCCCTTGTGTGTGAAAATGTGGCCCAGGGCATTGTGTCCTTTGGGGAAGACGAGGGGACACCTCCAAGTGTCTACTCCAGGATCTCAAGCTATCTGCGCTGGATTAAAAAAACAATGAAATCCTTCAAACTCCAGGGGCAAGACTGAGAGGACTTCAGAACGGATCTTCATCCTCTCTTCAACATAGGCCCAAAGTGCACTGGGTGGAGGAGTAAAGGGGAGACTGCCAGTTGCTTAATAAACTTTCATCTCTGCAACAGAAGTGATGGATTCCTCCTTTCTTCACCAGCATAACATTCTGTAAGGTGCTGACTGTATGTCCAGCAGGAACTGCTCACATTTATGATTCTTTACATTCTTCCCCTCAGGCACACTCCACCTTCCACCTCTAGAATTTAAAACCTTGCTTTGTTGATACTGGCTCCAAATTAGTGTTCAATTCCAGCTCCCTGCAGGATGGTGAGTTTAAGCTACACAGGAAAAAAGGATGCTCTCTAGACAAAACTCATTCCTACAGTGCCTTCTTACCTCATTTTGTACCTACATTCCTACCCTACCCACTTTCAGGGCCAATATGAAAACACAAAAGAACCCATATTTGGAAAGGAAATTACATAATTCCCACCCTAGTGGTAATCGGTAGGAGCCTTTTGGAAAGGTGTGGTTCATGCAGAGGTTCCTCTCCAAGTTAGCACAATTGGCAGCTTGGAAGCATGAAGCTTTCAGGAATAATTTTCAGTATCCCCAGATGCAACATGAGTTCTGTCATAGCCCTGTCATGGGGCAAGAGCCCAGCGCAGTGTCTGGTCTCCTGAAAACCCATCCTCCCAAAACTCCAAATGACCTTCCATCTTAGTCTGAGCCAGCTTCTCTCCACCTCCCATGTCCAGGTTCCCTGGAATCCTGTGAGGATCCAAGCACCCTTTCTATCTGTGTTCACCAATATTATCATCCTTGATAGATCTTGAGCACTAGCTCAACTTCTGTCCCATTCATGAAGGACCAGGAGGCAGGGTATGTCCTCAGAACTCTAGTCCAGAGTTTACACCTAGGTCAAGGCCATGTCAGTCGTCCTCATGCAGAGGAGTCCTGCTCCTGACCTCAGAGCTCAACAAAGACGGGTCACACTCAGCAGCTTGATCCCTTTCAGGCTCTTCCTTTTGGGCACCACTGACAGTCTGGCCTCTGGGACAGAACTCATTGATTAGTACCCTGGAATATAATGTCCATCTATGTGAGACAGCCTGCCTCTGTAACAGGACAGAAGCAACATTCTGCAAAGCAGCAGTCATCATGGAATCCATGTGGTGTTTCTGTGGCTTTCCTGGCCTGCATCTCAGTTTAAAATTTATAAGAATCACGGGCATCTTCTTTTCAAGATAATAAAACTTATTTGAGATGTCACATGGTAGAGCACATTATCACATCACATCCAAGAAGTGCTGATTATGGGGTCTAGAGGAAATGGAGACTTTATAGTCTGTCAGTGCTAAGAGCATTCCCTCCCAGGAGGCAGGAGGAAGATGGGAAGAAGGACCACAGTGTGAGCAAGTCTGTCCTGATTTAACTTTGTGGCATGTACACAAACTCAGACACGAATCAGTTCACATTTTTCTGAAATCTGGGGTCTGACTTAAGCATGGGCCAATGTGAAAAGTAACCCTAGTTATTACTGAGGCCTTGCCACACTCACAATTGAACCAAGATAGGCAGGCTTAGGTATGCTTGGAAAATGGAAGCTTTTTTAATCGTTTTTAATTTTTTTTGTTGAAGGTTTACAGTGAAACATTGTAACTGGGTTCATCCTGACAAACTCACACATACATGAAAATCAATTCAGCTCATAATGCCAATCTTTTCAATCCCCTCTCTTACCACCCAGCTAAACTTTTCTCTCGAATTCTCCTTCATCTACTCTACTTGACTCCCTTTTGCTCATCTAATAATTAATTATATTTAATTAGTAAAATTAACCAAATTGTTAATTGGTATAATTAATTATATTTGCTTGATTCTTTGTAATATCTATTCCTCCCTCCACTTTCCTTAATGTTATTCTAGTTTCAGTGTAAAACAGTAAACATTCAACGTTTGGATTTCAGAGTTGGTTTATTTCACTTAGCATGATGTTCTCCATTTCCATTCATTACTGGCTATAACTTTATTCTTTTTATGGCTGAGTCAACTCCACTGAATATATGTACCACAGTTTCTTGTTCCATTCATCTACTGACAGGTATCTAGATTGATCCCATAATTTGGCTACTGTTCATTGTCCTGCAATAACCATTGAGGTGATTGTAGTATGTTGATTCTTATATTTGGGGGAATACCAACGAGTAGGATAGCTGGATGACATGGTGGTTCTATCCCTAGTTCCTTGAGGAGTCACCATACTGCTTTCCAGAGTGCTCGTACTGGTCTGTAGTACAACCAACAATGTACAAGTGTTCCTTTCTGCCCACAACCTTGCCAGCATTTATTGTTGTTCATATTCTTGATCATTGCCAACCTGACTAGAGTCAGTTGAAATCATAGGACAGTTTTGATTTGATTTCCCTAATTCTACAAATGGTAAACATTTTTCATATATGTGTTGCCCATTGTGTGTTTCTTCTTTTTTTTTTTTTTTTTTTTAATTTTTTATTGTGGGTTGTTCAAAACATTACAAATTTCTTGACATATCATATTCCACACTTTGATTCTAGTGGGTTATGAACTCCCACCTTCACCCCATACACAGATTGCAGATTCACATCAGTTACACATCCATTGATTTACAAATTGCCATACTAGTGTCTGTTGTGCTCCGCTGCCTTTCCCATCATCCACCCTCCCCCCTCCCCACCTCTCCCCTCCCCTCCCCTCCTCTCTCTCTACCCCCTCCACTGTATAACCCTGAGGGTCTCCTTCCATTACCGTGCAATTTACCTTCTCTCTCCCTTTCCCTCCCACCTCTCATCCCTGTTAAATGTTAATCTTCTTCTCCTGTTCTTCGTCCCTACTCTGTTCTTAGTTACTTTCCTTATATCAAAGAAGACATTTGGCATTTGTTTTTTATGGATTGGCTAGCTTCACTTAGCATAATCTGCTCTAATGCCATCCATTTCCCTGTAAATTCTATGATTTTGTCATTTTTTAATGCAGAGTAATACTCCATTGTGTATAAATGCCACATTTTTTTTTATCCATTCGTCTATTGAAGGGCATCTAGGTTGGTTCCACAGTCTTGCTATTGTGAACTGTGCTGCTATGAACATCGATGTAGCAGTGTCCCTGTAGCATGCTCTTTTTAGGTCTTTAGGGAATAGACCGAGAAGGGGAATAGCTGGGTCAAATGGTGGCTCCATTCCCAGCTTTCCAAGAAATCTCCATACTGCTTTCCAAATTGGCTGCACCAATCTGCAGTCCCACCAGCAATGTACAAGTGTACCCTTTTCCCCACATCCTCGCCAGCACTTGTTGTTGTTTGACTTCCTAATGGCTGCCAATCTTACTGGAGTGAGATGGTATCTTAGGGTGGTTTTGATTTGCATTTCTCTGACAGCTAGAGATGTTGAGCATTTTTTCATGTACTTGTTGATTGACTGTATGTCCTCCTCTGAGAAGTGTCTGTTCAGGTCCTTGGCCCATTTGTTGATTGGGTTGTTTGTTCTCTTATTGTCTAATTTTTTGAGTTCTTTGTATACTCTGGATATTAGGGCTCTATCTGAAGTGTGAGGAGTAAAGATTTGTTCCCAGGATGTAGGCTCCCTATTTACCTCTCTTATTGTTTCTTTTGCTGAGAAAAAACTTCTTAGTTTGAGTAAGTCCCATTTGTTGATTCTAGTTATTAACTTTTGTGCTATGGGTGTCCTATTGAGGAATTTGGAGCCCGACCCCACCGAATGTAGATCGTAGCCAACTTTTTCTTCTATCAGACGGCGCGTCTCTGATTTGATATCAAGTTCCTTGATCCATTTTGAATTCACTTTTGTGCATGGCGAGAGAAAGGGATTCAGTTTCATTTTGTTGCATATGGATTTCCAGTTTTCCCAGCACCATTTGTTGAAGATGCTATCCTTCCTCCATTGCATGCTTTTAGCCCCTTTATCAAATATAAGATAGTTGTAGTTTTGTGGATTGGTTTCTGTGTCCTCTATTCTGTACCATTGGTCCACACGCCTGTTTTGGTACCAGTACCATGCTGTTTTTGTTACTATTGCTCTGTAGTATAGTTTGAAGTCTGGTATCGCTATACCGCCTGATTCACACTTCCTGCTTAGCATTGTTTTTGCTATTCTGGGTCTTTTATTTTTCCATATGAATTTCATGATTGCTTTCTCTATTTCTACAAGAAATGCCATTGGGATTTTGATTGGCATTGCATTAAACCTATAGAGAACTTTTGGTAATATCGCCATTTTGATGATGTTAGTTCTGCCTGTAATTTTTATGTGTTTTTGAATGTGGTTTGCTAATATTTTATTAGGGATTTTTGCATCTACATTCATCACGGATATTGCTTTGTAGTTTTCTTTCTTTTATGCACATTTATCAGTCAGTATCAGGATGATATTGGCTGCGTAAAATATATTTGGGAGTGTCCTCCTCTTTCAATTTCATGGAATAATTTTTTTTAAAAAAATGATATTAATTCTCCTGTACAGATTTGGAAAAACTCAGGTGAGAATCCATCAGGTCCTGGAATTATCTTTTTCTTAAAGCTTTTATTTGCTGTTTTCATTGGGTCCTGGGATTTTTAGTTTTCAGAAAGCTTTCAATTACAAGTTCATTACTGAATATTGGTATGTTTAGGTTTTCTATACATTCTTGTTTCAATTTGGGCAGATCATAGGTGTCTAGAAATTCGTCAATATCTTCCAGATTTTCCAGGTCATTGAAGGATCAATTTTCGAACTACATTTTGTTAATGCTTAGGATTTCAGAAGGATCCAGAGTAATATCTCCTTTTTCATCTCTGATCTTGTTGATTTGCTTCTTCTCCATCTTTCCTTTGGTTAGTTTGGCTAAGGATTTGTCAATCTTGTTTAGCTTTGCAAGAAAGAACTTGTCATTGCATTCATCCTGTGTATTATTTTCTTATGCTCAATTTCATTGATTCAAGTTCTAATCTTAATTATTTCTTCTCTTCTACTGGTTTGGAGTTTGTTTGCTCCTTTATTTTTAAGGCCTTGAGGTGGAACATAAACGTATTTACTAAGGATTTCTCTAATATTTTAACATAGGCCTCTATACTATCAATTATCCTCTTAGAACTGC